TTCGGTCCCAATTTCATCATCGATCGTGTGTAAAATATTCCCACCACCAAAGAAAATAAAAAATAATTCTACCTTGACAAAGGAGTGAAACTTGATCTTGCTGGGTGAAATTGGTGGGCTCCTGGGAGTCCTCTTGGGCACCTGCAGAAAATTCTGCACACTGACGAGATAACCCCTGGTGTACCTGCTCTTGGGGCTCTCCTGGATGCCACTTTCCTTAACTTTTCTGACGAGCCTTAGATTTTCCTTAGTGCTCTGCCTGACACAGATGTGAGTGATTCTCCTCATATTGGCGAGCACATCCTTGCCACAGATGGATCTCCATGTCCTTGACACCATGCTGACAGCACAGAGATCCTCAGCCCTGAGATATCCCAGTATCTTGGACACAATCTCCACGTGATTGCTCCTCTCCCCAAGAAGCTGAAGAATATCAACAGTTTCTCGGCCAGTTACATCAGGAATTGATCTGATTCTGTATCCCCTGTGGGTTCTCAGATTGAAATCCAGCCTCTTGGGTTTGATATCACCACCACCAAGACTGAGATTCGAGAACTCCTTTCTCTCGACACTGGCAAAACCCTCGCCAGGACTTTTACTGGTTCTCGGTGAAAAGGTGATTTCCACCGAGGGAATAGTCACCTGGGGATCATACGGCGTGCTCTGGGCGGTTTTGACTAGGTTTTGCTGTATATCCTCGTGGATGGGTTCACATGCCATAAACGAGGCAGATGGAATTGCTGGTGATGGTGGAGGCGAGAGGATGGCAATACTCGCTGGTGCAACAGCTGATGCTCTCTGGCATTTTCTCACTCTGTTTCTGTACTCTCGGAGGCCCTTTCTGAAGCTGTAACGAGACTCCAGGGCACTCTGATCCCTCACACACTCGAAACTCTCGTCCTCGGTTGTTGTACCCTCCAGGACACTGTCCAAGTGTTCAAGGTCTGAACCTTCTGCAAATTCTGCTGATGCATTTATCAGGGTATTTAGTTTTGATCTTGACCGACGCTCCTGCTGCCAACGCTCTGATCTCAACCAGTAATGTCTCTTTGTCGGAGGACGACGATTTATTGTGCTTGGAGTTCCAAAAGAGTGAGGGGTTAATGATAAATATCCCGAGTCCATGCTGTCAGAGGTGTGCAAACTCCTGGGGTGAGAGGGCATACTGTGAGGGGTATCCACGATCCTCGAGACATCCGACATCTCGATGTCCTGGATTGAGTCACTCATTTTATTATTTCCGGCTTGCCGCGATTTTTAGAAATTGTGCGAAAATTTGTTGGGAATTTTTTTCGGAATAGGACTGTGGAAAACTTGAAAAATGTGGGGAAAATGTGGGGAAAATGGGGGAGATAGGGGAGATAGGGGAAATTGGGGAAATGGGGGGCTGGCGTCTGACGCCCTCAACATGCCAAGCACCCCTGCATCCCTTTGTGTGATGACACTTTTTGTTTTTTTTTTTTTTTTTGGGTTGGAGTTTTGGGGGAACTTTGGGGAAATTTTTATGACACTTTCACGGGCTCATTACACTCGAGGTTAACACTTAATTACGCACTTGCACACGAGGATTGTTGATGACACATTACGCGGAGTTTGGCGCGAGAATGAAATGACGGACTGACACGAACGAGGGGTGAGTGGGAAATAAACGCGGAGCGCATGGCACGTCGCCGCGAATCCTAAGCTTTAGTTCCAGGAATCAGTGGGTCGGGTAGTGGGGATTTCCAGGGAATGTGCGAGGACATCTGGTGGTCGACGGCAGATTCCACAGGAGTAATCTGTTTTGTCGACGTCTTTTGGGAGCACATACACAAATTAAATATTATTTCTTTTGAATATTCATCTGTCAAACATATCTTTTAAACAAATTTAATTTAAATTGAAAAAAAATATAATATTGTTCATAGGGCAAGTGTTCTAATTCTGGGAAATTTCCACCATAATTTACTTCCTCTGTATTTAATTTTGTGATAATTGTCTGAATAATTCAGAATCTTCCAGCTTCATCAATTTTCCTCTGGTAATAATTTCCCGAAGCCATCGTGTTGATAACCTGGGGGTTCTCGTTCGATTTAAATTATTGAAATCGACCTCTATTAATCCAAAGCGCTCACTAAACAATTAACAATAAAAGAATCAATTAAAAAATATATATAATATTAAAATTATATTAATATATTAATATTAAAATTATCGAATTGATAAAAATTACGTGGAAAATAGAAAATACGAATTTCATAGGGTCTTCATACAAATTGTGGTAATCTGTTGCAAAATTCAAAATTTTCGGTGTGACCCACCTGTAGCCTCTGTCCCACTCGAAATTATCCAAGAGACTCCACACTGTATAAACTTTAACATCACACCCATCTCGGTTCCGAGCCAGGAGCATTTCCTTCATGTAACCGTACAAAAATTCTATTCTGTTATAGTCAGCAAACCCTGGATTGGACGATACCCCATTTTCAAGAATATAAACTGGGGGATTATTGTAGGCTTCCTTGATGTCCCTGAGAACTCCTCCAAGACCTTCAGGAACGACCTGAATAGAAATTTAAAAAATAGGCAATTGATAATAATAAAAGTGAGCTGATGAAAATAATTAATTGGCAATTCGAGTCATTACACTCAGCCAATCAGTGGGACATCCCGGCCAGCTGGCATTGGCGAATGACCTGACACCAGAGTCAAGGTGCCAAAGATCACCCTTCATCTTTGGAACTGGCTCCACCATCTTCGAGGTGTAATGATTTAGTCCGAAATAATCATATGATCCTCTGGAACAGAAGGTCGAGTATATCATGGGCGAAGTGAAGTATTTTATGAGTTCAT